AATCATAACGGAATTGTCTGAGAGGATCAAAACTAGAACAAGAATAAGTCTTCCCTGTTTATTAAGTAGTAGGAAACTGAGAGTTCTGGACCACACGCCCTTTTGACCCCGGCGCCGCTCGCTTTGCTAGCTGAATAAACAACTCGTAACTAGCGCCGGGGATTTCCACTTCACTGACCTTGAACTTTTGACCCCGGCTGACTAAACAACTCGTGACTGGTACCGGCCTGCACAAACAAAAAAAGGGATTTCCCCTTGCTACAAGTCGAGACTTGCCCGACCTGAACTCGTGACCTTGGCTCTGTTCAAATCAAAACAAACCGCCTTAAATAAATGCTCTTTATATAAAATAAAAATAAATGGCAGATCAAACTACAAACGTGAATTGTTATTTTTGCAAAGACACGAGAAATTCTGTCGGCTTGATAGATTCGTATGATTGCTCTCGTTGTTTTAATTCTAAAAGTTTACTCAAATGCATCGGTTGTAAAGAATGTCGCAATTGTCACGAATGTCAAGACTGGGTCAGATGTAAGGACTGCTCCACCAGCGACGATTGCGGTAGATGTATAAATTGCGTGGCTTGTTTTAGTTCATACGACTGCAGAAATTCGAATGCCTTGGACAGTTGTGAGGACTGTTACGACTGTGCCAATTGTATCGAGTGTTTTGGTTGTACCTACTGCACCTGCTGTGTAAATTGTGACGAGTTGGAAGGAATGGATCACGTGGTGCTCGTCGACGGCAAGTATAAAAAGTTGAGGCATGCGCGAGAGAACGAGCCACTACCTGTTTCATCGACTAAACTAGACGCGGACTTATATAAAATTGGACTAATTATTGAATACAACACAGACGTAGAAATCCCGTCTGAATAAAAATGATAAAAATTTTAAAAAACCTATATATAAATAGAACATGTCAACTCAAATGTATATCGTCTCAAATGACCACGAACTTCTAAATGCCGGCAACAAAAACCCAAAAATTACCTATGGCCCCTTTGACTCTGAAAATTTAGTCATTTTAAGACCTACAAAGTCTTCTTCTAAGATCTTTTATCGCCACGAGGGTCAAAACAAACAACTGTTGATCAGACTCGAAGACCCTTGTTACGGAGTCAACCCAGTTTATAAATATGGTACTAAGGAACCTAATGGCCAAGATCAAATTTGTTATCAAGTGTCC